AGCTAAACGAACGGCACAATAACAACTTTTGACAAACTCCTGCGATTCAAAACACTCGCTTACTTGAACAAATGGCGACTAAAGTCCAATGGTCACATCACGTGACCGACAAAAAATCTCCCAAGGGGAGTCGGGAGTGACAAGGAGGCGGGGGGGGGGCTCTATGAACTAATGTAGAGTTGAACGCCGCTATTTCGAACTCAGGGGAAACGAAAAATAGTTCGAAAAAGGAAAGGAGTTCAAAATAGCCTATAGTAAATGACTGAAGGGCAGTTCCAAGGCAAATGATTTTGAGTTCGAAAGATCGGAGAATTCGAAATAACCGCGCTCGAATTAGCGGGTTACAGCTGTGCTTTTCGGCGCCACGCATATCCCTGTCTTCCCCACGAGCACTAAATACTGAGACTTACAAAGCGTTAAACCACAAACCGCTCTCGCTTTCCGAGATGAAAGAGGACGCTAACTGTCAATTTTTTCTCTCCCTTACCCAATCTCGTTCGCAGTCGCTTAGATATTATATACAAGCTAACATTAGTGCTCCAGAAACGACCCAATCCCATATTTTACTTGCAAGGAAAGTAGTCAATGTTTGTTTAGAGTCAGTGTACGTTGCGGACTGGGGCGAGAAATTTACTTGCCCTCCTCTCCCCAGTGACATAGAGCGGAAGTGAAAAGTACTTGTTGTAGTGCGGATTGTCGTTGCAGATTGTTGTGTACTTCAGTGGTGTTTTGGAGCAGTTTTGTCGCTATAAAGCATTGCAGGTAATTCATTTCGCTATGAAGAATAAGAAGGGGACGTTTAGAAACGCAATTTGGGGAAAATACTCCTCAAGGAACAAGTTTTGCAGTGATTCTGTAAAAATTGGGCAGTTCACAATAATTTTTTTGAGAACTCAGCTGGGTTTCAAACCAAGCTTTAATTGTGCGCAATCTATGCTCGATTCCCGTTTAATTTAGTGATTTTTGTGCTCGGAGATATACCTTTCGAACTTGGATAGCGGTAGCTTACAATACATGTAATACGAAACTGCTTAGGAAGCGGGAACCTGAAGGAAAGTCGAACTTACTCGAAGAGGTGTTGACCAAATTCTTGTCTGCTCAGATACATGATCTGTCTGGTGTAAATCATCAATGTTTTGACCTGAGGGTTGGGAGAAGCATTTGAATAATTTTTCGTCTACAAACATAGAAACAGATTTTTGAGCCATTGTTGGGATCAGGGACTATGTTTATTTATAAACTTCCTTTACAACAAAGCACTTAACCGAGACAAACGACATAATATTATTACAATCATACTAAAATAACTTCCTTAAGGCCCTTTATAAAGATTGAGATTCTTCGAAATTTTCGAATGTTGTTGTTTTTAGTGGTCAATTCGCTAAGTAGCTACACCAAGCTACATGTAGTTCACTGAAAGAAACAAACATATCAACTAAATATAATAGACTTAGAAATTCCAACTGGCAGGAGGCAGCTCAGACCGGTTAGCTATTTACAAGTATGACAGAGTAGTTGAAGTAGGGTCTACTGAGAAACAACTCCAGCTTAGCAGTGACTGGTCAGAGCAAGACTTGAACGTGCAACCTCCGTATTTCAAGTCCAGCGTCAGGGTTCTCCCTAGTACAACAGGTAAGGGACCTTTTCAAACCGGTAAAGCATCTGGTTAATGTTGGATGCTCTGCAAAGGATAAGTTACAATTTGAACTTATGCACCACGTTGGTTGAGCTAACGTCAGCGCTGTCCCTCTAAGTATAAAAATAACCTTCACACAATCAAGGTTTCTTTTTTCTCTCTCTAGCCTTACTGCCTGCTTGTGTTCTTCTGAATTGCCATGCTCTGATATTGAGGCCTTCCTGTAACGTGTACCAGGCGCAGTAGCATATTTCACATTTTTGCCTGTTTTAATATGCTTTTTTTTTTTACAAAGACAACGAAACATTCCGTCGCCCTCTTTACCTGTAAATGTCAGCCACCACACACTACTTTTACAGCAGAATACAATGTCATCATCAATCCAGTCATGCTTGAAGACATGGGGCTTTGATGGCAACTGCCTGCTTATTTCATTGGAAGATAGCAACTTCAGCTGTATTTTGCATATGGTATATGATGGTGTAAAACATGGGGTTGGCTACTACCAAAAGCGTCTTCCAGAATGCGTAAATGCTACTTTTCTGAAATACAAGAGGGTTTAAATGTTTTTAATTCTGATTCTGCTTCCAATGGTAATTTTGACGGTGTCATCTCTTTGGGTGGTAGTTGGTTGTTATCTTCCGGAGGTGATGCGCTAACTGACTCGGATGTTTCTATTGATTTATCGGTCCAGGGTGGTTCAGTTATCACTCACTCTTCTGTTGATCGCAAAGG